CCCTCAACTATAACGTCTTTCCGCCTTTCATAATTATATCGTAATACTGGGAAAGCCAGATGATATTATTATTATTATTATTATTATTATTATTATTATTATTATTATTATTATTATTATTATTATTATTATTATTATTATTATTATTATTATTATTATTATTATTATATTATTATTATTATTATTATTATTATTATATTATTAAAGGCATTCCGTTAGGGCTTCAGGGGCCTTTTATCATGTGCTCTATACCTACATGCCAAATATTACCTACATGCTATAATTACCTATAATGCCAAATTTTTTTCCCACGAAGCATTGCAATCCATGCAGATTAACTGCTGTAAAAAAATGTTGAGACATACAAATATTTAGGCGTACTTTTTCACAGTGGCAACATCATATGGCATTTATATGTTTTAAACTGAGAAGTGGGGCATGTCTCCTTTTCAACATAAAGAGCTTGGTGCCTCTGCCAGTGACGAAAATGATAGTTTATTCTCTAGCATTTAGTGCTGTGAGATACGGTATAATAGTTTTGGCATTTTGCTCAGAGCGCTGGAAAACACCAATAGACAGTTCGCTTCGAAACATTCTAAAAAGTGTTGCTTACGGTAATAAGGCAGATGTCAATGCTGTTTTTCATGATTCAGGTTTTTGTGTGTTCCAAGATTTGTTTACAAAAAAAAAAAACAGTTGTCAGATACAACTGGTATGATGACTTTACTGTGCCATATTTTGCGCGTCGGCCGCTGAGAAAAAAAAAACGGTTTACTGTAGTGCGATTTTCTACCAGATATGGAGAAGCGCGTAGAAGAGTATATATTCCCAAAATTTACAAGTAACTACCTGAAGAATTTTTTCAGCTAGTTGAAAACAGCAGTTAAAGAAATTACTTTCTGAACTTTAATATCCACTGGCTATGGTCTACTTCTTTGTCATATGGGCTCTTTATCCCGCCTCTGTTCTCCTTTTGCCTGTACAAAAGCAATGGCATTATTCGTTTAATCTAGTCGTTTGCAAAAAGAAAAAAAATTGTTTTTGTGACCTTTTACCACATCGCTGTAACCGGCTCTGCCGGACCTAGTCACACATGTCCTCTGAGACTTAGACAGGCCCGTTTCTTCGTATTTGTGATGAATATGTACCATAATGTATTATTATTAATATTATTATTATTACTATTATTATTATTATTATTAGTAGTAGTAGTAGTAGTAGTAGTAGTATTGAATATTGTGTAACTAATCGCATGTCATTACATTTATTATTAATAAATCGTGGACGATGCATTTCTTTGCCCAAGCGGTCTATGCTGGCCAACATTCGCAGTATCCAGGTGCATGTGAAAACAATAAATGCCTTTGCTGTTATCAATGTCTATATACGGGAGCTGAAGACGCAAAAAGCGAAAGGATGCGTCCAGATAAGAACTAAAATGAGGTTCCGGTCAGCCACCTCAATTTTTATTTATTTCGCTCTAAGAGCAGTATTCATCTAAAACAATAACTTCCAAGTTACTTTTGCCAAAATAAAAACTTTTGTTTACCTAAAAATAGAAAATTAGGCCTCAAATAGCTTTTTTTCACCAATTTTGCAATACCTTAGTTCTGATCGCATCTAACAAAAAAATTGTGCTCTTATTGTTGATATAGTTATTCCCATCAAAAAACAAGTTAGGTGCAAATCGTGACTGTTTTATAATGCAGTAGTAACATAATTGATTGATTGATAGTTTGATATGTGGGGTTTAACGTCCCAAAACCACCCTGTGATTATAAGAGACGCCGTGGTGGAGGCCTCCGGAAATTTCAACCACCTGGGGTTCTTTAACGTGAACCCAAATCTGAACACACGGGCCTACAACATTTCCGCCTCCATCGGAAATGCAGCCGGGATTCAATCCCGCCACCTGCGGGTCAGCAGCCGAGTACCTTAGCCACTAGACCACCACGGCGGGGCTTTAGTAGTAATATAGTAAACGGCACAAAACACCACTATTTCCGGAATTCATTGCTCCATGTTAATTTTAGGATAGTAAAATTAAAACTTGGTCTGTAGTGAATTTCGTATTTGTAGTTCCTTTCAAAATATGTTCGTGGTTTTCTTGCCCAGCGTTATTATACACTATGAAGCTCTGATGAAACATGTGTGGTTTACCAAAGTCACCGAAGTCTCAAAATAGTTGTGTCAAAAAGGACACTTTTATTTTTATTAGAAATTTCTCTGATTGAGTTCAGGAATGTTTTCTACAAGCTGGCGTAAAAACGAAATCGGCAATATTTAAGTTGCTAACAAGTTATAACGCGTGAAATATGACCAACTCAGCCCCGCCAGCGCATTATTTGATTGGATAGAAATCGAAGGAATTTGTTTAATATAGTAATACATGAGGACCAGTTATGAGGAAGCTGTTCAAGAAAAAGAAAACAAATGCACAGCCAAGCTTTGTCTTGTGATCAGCCGCTTGAGTGACGCTTGAACTGCGTGGCCGAGCTTCGCTTGCACGAAAAATGACGCTCAGATGGCGGATCCGGCATGGGATGTATTACGGCAAAGAGTAAGAGCTGTTGATTGATATGTGGGATTTAACGTCCCAAAAGCACATATGACTATGAGAGACGGCGTAGTGGAGGTCTTCGGACATTTAGACTACCTGGGGTTCTTTAACGTGCACCCAAATACGAGCACACGGGTCTACAACATTTCCACCTCCATCGGAATTGCAGCCGCTGCAGCCGGGATTCGATCCCTCAACCTACGGGTCAGCAGTCGAGTACTTTAGCCACTAGACCACCACGACGGGGCAAAGGAAGAGCTAATAATTAACGATAGCTGTACACCGCTAATTTCGCAGTGACCACATTGAGCACGCATATATTTTTTTCCTACACTGTCGTATACCCAAAAGTACAAAATGTCACGATAAAATCGCAATTTTTGTTCAATATCAAGTCTGCAGACGCGCAAGAATGCAGCATTTCATCAACTGTATACCTTCACAATGCAATGGACACACTTCCTTTAAGGCAACACCGGTGTGAAAGCAGTGTTCAGGCACGAGAAGCAGAAGAGCAGTTTTAGTTGGTCGACCACGTGCACGAGCAGGCATAACAGCCCCTTTTTTTTTAGATGTCACGGGCTCGATTTATGTGTCATCTGCTGCTGATAGCACTGATCTAGTTAGCAACACATGTGCGCAGAAGTGATTGCGCTGACTGCAAACTCTGGAGACACAGTCCTCGTTGCATGATACGGACCTTGTTGGCAATTAATAGCTTTCACGTTTCACACTTGTGCATTATATTCGTCCTACAAGTGTCGTTATCGCGCGCAGGCGGAGCTCGCGTCCAACAAAGCGCCTTTGATATAATACGAGCGCTTTCCGCCGCGAATCAAGCAGCCGAGCGCACGCCAAAGCTTGCCGCATCTTGCACTTGTCTTGTTTCTTTAACGGTATATGTCTCCTACTATGTCGCGCACAGCTATTTTAGACACCTTGAGTTCGACTTACAGCACATGCGGAACTAATGGTGAGCTTACTGCTCGCTGAGTTGGTCACAGATAAATCACTTTCACTTGCTTGCAGCTAAAATAATCCAACATTTTCTCATGCAGAATTGTAGATAACGTTCTTGACTACAGGCAGAACGATGTCCACTTTGGTGGAACAGTGGCTCGATCGATCGTGGCCGCAATGGTTCCATTTCGGTGGAGGCGAAAAAGTAGAAGCCCCTGTATGGGGCGATGTCACGCAAAAGAACACCAAATGATCGAAATCTGCGGAGCCCTTCACTATGGCCTCTCTCGTAATCATATCGGGATTATGGGACATCAAATATTATTATTATTTAGGCCAAGTGAGTTTAAAAATATTTACGAATGATGTTTTTAAAGAACTATTTGCATGCTTTGGTGTTTTTGGTAAACCACACACGTTTAAGCACCATTTGAAATTATAGTTGTGCACGAATAAGCCACGAAAATTGTTTGGCAAAAAAACATCAAGTACCGATGCCAATATGGGCATGGCCCTATTTTTTTCACTTCAACTTCTCTTCAGCAATGATTCCTTTAAATGCAGGTATGTTGTGCAGCTTACCATATTTGTGACATTCTTTCTTAAAACCTTTGTGGTGCGCAGCGAAATACACTATATTAACCAGATTTCAGTACAGTTGCTCTTTGAAGGAAATAAATACTCAGGCTAATAAATGCGCTCATTTTTCGTTATATGCACTCCGTCTTCAGAAATTCGCAAGTTGGGAGAAAACCTTTTCTTGTGGCCAAAATTTGAATTTTTTCAAGAAGCAAAATTTGTTCCACAAGACTAACTTTGAAATCATTGCCGAGAATCTAAAACTTGCGCCTAGAGTAATGGTGAATTCCTTCGGCAGATTCAGAGCACTTTCAATGGTATTGCTTTCTGGCTCTATGCGGAACAAGCGTGTTACATTGGCTGATTGGGGATGATTCCTGTATGTATCACTGGTAGATTAGCAGCTCCGCCACCAAATCTACTCCAAGAAGGAGCATCGAAAGGCGGCGCATTTGACCGGAAGTCACGAGTGCCCCGCTGCGCAGAGCGTGGCGTACCACGTTACTGACCCAACATGCTGCCTGAACACACCCGACACCCGTTCTCTGTGCGAACACCCGTGAAGGCGCGCGAACAACGTGAAACACGAAGAATATTGGGCGTTTCCGGAAACGGATGTGCACTATATAGTGCCGCCTATACCACTACTGATGGGAGGACCCGTGTTTCATTGACAGATTTCTTTCGGTTGCCCCCCGCCGCTACGGCACAGAGTTCATCGGCCACTCCATTTAATCTAGAATTGGAATTCACGGCGAATTCCGTCAGAACTTCGGGAATCATGACCGGAGCTTCGTGTTCGTTCTTATCGGGACACAGCGTAAAAACGGCGGGAGCCACGCCTTAAGCACCGCTGTCGCCTGCAAGTAACAATAAAAAAATGTGCTGCCCTTACACTTACCTGAATAGCATTCTTTGGCTAGGCACCAGGTATTCTGAGCAAACGGCCTCCATATTTCTGAAAGAGAAAGAAGACATAATCTTATTCAATGGCAGTAGTTCATTAAGCATCAATGAGTAATTTAATTTCACAGCGCAGCTCCCCGGCCCCAATCCCTACATTGTGGGCCGTCAGATTAACCAACAGAGTGAACGAGGACGAAAGAGAGCGCACGCGGAGCATGAAAAAACACCAGGCCTGCGTGGAAGGTGCAGCACGGTCACAGTAAAATCTATTGAAGAGCGGCCTTTCAGAGCCTTTTCTAAACACTCATTGAGTAAGTTCTACAAGAACTCTTGCATGATGCCGACAAGAACATTGATAATAAACTTTTGGGTAGTAGGCCGGCATTCGCTCTGCTATTTTTCGTCATTCTTCTGGGAAGCGTGGTATCCGCTAAATACTTGCAAGGAATTTTGTACCAATTGTTCACGCAGTGGCTGACGACGACAAGGAATTATGGTTGAAATGGGTATGTACCACAGTTAATGGGGGAACAAGAACAAGCTTTCGGAATGGGTTGGAGCATTGGACGACACACTCGTTACGCTATTCGCATTGGGCGAAGACTGGTCGTCCTTTCGCTGTTCTAAAACGCTTTATAAATCGTACTAACGCGATTCCTTTCCCGACATCAAGCCGGCCTAAGGCAAGTTTGCCAACAAGTAACAAGCACCAGCGCAGCTCAGTGGAAGAATACTGGGCTCCCACCCAGCGGACCCGGGTTCGAGCTCCACTGTGTCTTTGGTACTAGGTTGTCTTTGGTGCGGAAGCGGACAACTGCGCGTGACCCGAGTTGTGATCTCGTAAGAGCTTTCGCTGTAAAACGATCGCCTAAACGAGGAGGGGGTGGGGGGACGACAGGGAGTGAGACAATAGGCTGTTGTGGAACGCACCAACGCGCTGGCCTTCCGGGGTCTCGATCCCTACAATCACACCACACTCTCTGGAAAATTAAGTAAATAATTGGCGTCATTCGTATATGTCAAAAAGAACCACCTCTCACTTGCGCTTTGTAGACTGCATATGAATTAGTACAGGTATGAAGCTTGCGAAATGTGGCTCTTGTGGAGAAACAACGGCTCGTGCAATTCGTAGGCTGGAGGACGCTGTGGCTATAAGGGTTGCCGTGAGAAAGATTTGCAGTATAAGGAATGAAAAGAAAAAATCTCAATGTTTGCGGCAATGCCCGCCAGTGTAAAACGTATACGGTGCCTCATCACTGATTACAAAAAGGTGCCCGCTCCCGATGGCAGCGCCACTGTATGGAAACTTGGTGGCTCTAAGAAATCGCTGTTTTCAGGCGTGACGCACTATAACCTTTTAGATGACGGTGGAAACACCATATTTTCGTCCATTTCTCAGTTGTTTACCAGTGCACAGTGTGTGATGGACCATGCTTGAGCTTGTTTGTATACGGTAGCCCTGCACACATCGGCGTGCGAATGTGTAGTGCCAAAATGAGGTATACGACAGCAGACAGAAGACGGTTTCACTACAGCGGGAAAGGTATTTCCCGCTGGACTATAGAGGTTTTGCTGCAGCTGCTGGGAAAGGAGGCAGGGATGAAGAGACGCAGTTGGTGATACTTAATCTTTTTCGGGGACTTTGTCTGCGGCGGCTGATGTCAAATGGGCTGCACGAAATCGCCCCCGCCAGTTACACTACTGACAGCGTTCTCTTCTTCACGTAAACCATGTACCCAATGCAAAATATAGCCTCCGCCAGTTACTTCTGAAAATGAGCGACGTGCATTGTCTGCCACCGCTACTAAACGAGCTTCCCAAGCAGACGCTTAACGCCGCCGACTCCAGAATTCAGTGGTGCGCCCCGCCGAAGCAGAAGTCTTTGCCCCAATTTGTCACAGAATTAGAACACCAGAACAGCTGCGATCAGAAATCGCATAGGGCAGTATCGTTTGCAATTTTTTCTTGTAATGTCCACGGAGATATTGGCTTTCTTAGTTTGTTATCTCATCTGCTGTGCTGCTCTCATATCTCTTAGGGTTACCGTTCTTATTTGCCTTTCAGTTGCGAGTGTTTTTCGTCCCGATTGTCCAGTTTTCTTCCCATATGTTAAATGTGCCGAAATGTAATGGTTCAACAGTTTCCGCGTTATAGTGATAGCAGTAAGTTACAGGTCAACATTTCAGAGTGCCTGTCGAATGCGCAGAAGCCCATCTATTATTTTCGGTCCATTTACTTCGCACCACTCTTAATATTTCACCTAGATAGACAAACTATATTTTACTTATTCTGCGGTCTGGTTGTCTATCACTAATCCTTTGTATTTTGCATATTCATATTCAGCCGTACCTTGAGGCTGTCTGGGTCTAATACTCTCTCCATTTTCGCAGTTCCTTCCTGTAATTGCTGTGTAACAGTACAATATCGTCTGCTAACCGTTCATCTCCATGTTATTCTCAGTTGATCGTCCATCCTACGTTTTTTGGGGGTTTTGTGCATTCTAGTCGACTGAAAACAAGCAGTGAAAATCAGTGGTCTTTTCCAGAGGTACCCCGTTCTCTATAAGTATTTCCCTGCTTTTCTTCAGCGGGAGTAGAGTTGCTGCGTGATTCGTATGTATATTAGCTACGGCATGATCATGCGTTTCAAGTAGTCCTTGTCGTCGCAACATGGCGAATCGTTTGTATGTCTCATCATCATCATCATCAGCCTGACTACGTCCACTGCAGAACAAAGGCCTCTCCCACGTTCCGCCATGTTAACTCGGTCCTGTGTTTTCTGCTGCCACTTTACACCCGCAAACTTCGTAATCTCATCTGCCCACCTAACCTTCTGTCTCCTCCTAACCCGCTTGCCTTCTCTGGGAATCCAGTTAGTTACCCTTAATGACCAGCGGTTATCCTGTCTACGCACTACATGCCCGGCCCATGTCCATTTCTTCTTCGTGATTTCAACTATGATATCCTTAACCCCAGTTTGTTCCCTGATCAACTCTGCTTTCGTTTTGTCTCTTAAGGTTACATCTATATCATTTTCCATTCCATTGCTCGCTGCGTCGTCCTCAATTTAAGATGAACCCTCTTTGTAACCCTCCATGTTTCTTCTCCGTAGGTAAGTACCGGCAAGATACAGCTGTTATATACCTTCCTCTTGAGGTCAATATCTACCCGTCATGATTTGAGAGTGCTTGCCAAATGTGCACCACCCCATTTTTAATCTTCTGTTACTTCAGTCTAGTGGTTCGGCTCCGCGGTTATTACCTGTCCTAAGCAGACATAGTCCTTTACAACTTCAAGTGCGCTATTACCTATCTCGCAGCAACGTTCTTTTCCGAGGTTGTTGTACATTACTTTCATTTTCTGCAGATTAATTTTAGGATCTACCTTTCTGCTCTTCTTGTCTAGTTCAGTAATCTGTCTGCCGATCTTTAAGCTGAGTGTCAGGTAAATAGATAGATAGATAGATAGATAGATAGATAGATAGATAGATAGATAGATAGATAGATAGATAGATAGATAGATAGATAGATAGATAGATAGATAGATAGATAGATAGATAGATAGATAGATAGATAGATAGATAGATAGATAGATAGATAGATAGAAATTTTTAATGGCCTTCCCGGAGAAGTTAGCCTTCGGGACAGGAAATCTGCAAAGCTGGGCGACGAGTTTTTGCAAGGTGGCAATCAGAGCGTGAGCCAAGTATAAGCCGAACCCGTAATTAAGGTATGCCATGCACCAGAAAAAAGTAGCAGATAGAGTGCGCGTTCTAACCGAGTTACTCGTGCCGTCCACTTAATGGACGTGGCGTATATCGGTTCCGAAGGCACGGATTTCACAACTGATGGAGCACTGCAGCTTCGCTAAGTTGCACTGGCGAATCAACCAAACTCTTCGGCAGGCTTTATGCACATTCACTACGAGTGCGTGATCCGTCTAATGGATGGGCTCACCGTGCGTGGCTGATCACTATACACGTCTTTTGTATGTAATGATGCGATCGAGCAGCAATATATATATATATATATATATATATATATATATATATATATATATATATATATATATATATATATATATATATATATATATATATATATATATATATATATATATTTACGCCATATACCTTTATTGAATTTCACTTCTGCCTCCTCGGCTTCTCCAGCCGTGCGGCTACATGGGTCACACGATTGCCCTCCCCCCGAAAGGATGCGAGGGTTACGAGAAATAACCAAGGAGGTCGTATGAACAAATTTACAAAAGTGCAGACAGTTTCACGGCCTATATGCACTTTCTTAATCCCGCAGAAACAAATTTTCACAGTGGGCAGTCTCATGACATGCACAATGGCTCTGGTGGGTGAGGCTGGCGATTGTGTCCAGGAAAAGACAAGGGCACCTTGAAAATGGAGGCTGCAGTGACGACACAGTTTGTATTTTTGTGAGGACTGAACGTCTTTGGAAGACTTTGGAGCACCGGCAACACGAATGTCGTAGGCGTCATGTTCTTTGTCGTAAGTGGTACACATGTGGTGCAACGAGCTTGCGTATTCGTTGGCTGATGGCGCGATGTCGGCGCTTTTCAGGAATGCAGACTGATGTTTTGAACCAACCTTTTGTGTCCTGTTGTCTGAGTAGCTTTGATTGTAGGTAGAGTACCGATGTACACTGGAGCAAAATAGCTTCACAATCTTTTTTTTTTTTTTTGCGAAAATGTCTTGAATTTGATTTTTTGCTTGTTTTGAGGGAGTCATCTTGAATTTGTCTTCGCTTCAGTTGACTCTCTTATAAATGTCCTTCTTTAAGCCTTGAGTGTTCTTCCAATGATGTTTCTGTTAGTATTTGCCCTTGTTGCTGTGGCCGCTGCGGAGTCTGCGGGGCTCTTGGACTTGCTTTCGCTAGCATTGCTGATGTTGCTGGGGGCAGTGCTTAGGTGGGAGCCTTTTTTGAACATGGCCCTAACTTTCTTGGCAACTTGATGAGCTGGCAGTCTGGTTGCTGTTGTGATGCATTTCGGGCAGTAAAAGTAATACTTCAG